AGAGGAATAGGTCAAAGACATCAAGAAGCCTCAAGCTGTCCTTTGCTCTGACCTACGCCCTTCATAGTTCCTCTTTTCACCTAATTTAATTGGAAGAGGGTAAAACTCTGCTCTTCTATATAATTTGTGAAGAATCGGTCATCTTTGGCCTAGATGTTTTCTTCTGTCAGGATTCAGTGGATTTGAAGAAACTCCTAGATGTGTTGCAGCAGTTCCTTTATGGCAAAGAAGAAGAGGTGCAAACTGATGCAAATCCTCTAAAAGAAATGGGCAGTAGTTGGAGTAAATGCCTGAGATTCTCAGCTGTACTCAGCACAGCGGAAGGGGTGATGGATGATTCAGTCCTCACCCCCTCCTCTGAGCATTCAACAACAGTTGCAGAATATTCTAACATATATTCACTGTTAATTCTGCCAGACAGTTTGGACGGTGGAGGATCACTGAGGACTGAGTGTGTCTTAGCTACACCCTCTGCTCTGGAAAACTGGGAAATGCTACACAGAACTTTTCAGAGACCCCCAATGCTGTAGGAGTACCTGTCCTAGTCAGATATATTGGCTTCAAAAGGTTAAGCAAAACTCCACTTTTTCCTACAGACCTTGCTAAGACTAGAACAAAAGAGATGCAATTATTATATGTATTAACTAATATAATTTTGAGTACATTAAGGATGAGCTGGAAACGAAGCCTAATGCTTTTAGAATTTTATGTTAAACCCTAGTCATACTACATACTAAAACTTTCAAAAGAGTCTTAGTTAAAATTTTGAAATGATGAATAATAATATGAGAATGGAATTTGCTCTCAAAATCGATAGTAGGAAACAATCCAAGTGCAATAACTTCAGACTGTCATCTGATGATAAGAAACACAGTACAAATGTTTGCTAAGGTAAGAGAAGGGACCAACAGCCCATGTGCCTGTGGAAAGATCAAGATTTTTTGCTCAAGGGCTTTCATTTCTCAATGAAGAATGTGCAGAGGAGGAGTACACTGTGCTCATCGTGGACATGTTGCATGGCTTCCAAATCTGTACTTGGGTTTGGTCATCAGGATTTTCCCTTCCTTGCTCTCAAATCATCTTTTGATGGAAAAGGCACTTGGAACTACTGCAGATAGGACTAGCACGCATGATTTTGAGATGAGAGTGCTGGAAAGCTTGGCATCAAAGCACTCTTGAGAAGAGGAGTTTAAGTTTTGTGAATGACTTAGACCGATGAATCATCTTCCTATGATGAATATCCTTGTCCGAGACGCTAAAAAAAGAAATTAGATTAGTACGGCATTTTATACAACTTTTTCCTCACAGAGTTTGAAATGTTCAGCTCAGAATTTCCCACATTGAGGTTTTAAGGGAAATGGAAACACCTATGCAACTCTTTCAACACTGTTACACAACAGGCGATAACAAGGGTACTTGTTTAGGTCCAGTTTAGCTGTGACACTAATCAAGCAAAGGCAGTAGCAATTGAAGATAAATACATTACAGTGGTAGAATGCTTTCGCAGTAAATATGCAAGGTGGTATCTGCTGGCAGATTTATAGCTAAATAGCTTAAAATCTTGAGTGAGAATTTTCAGTATGGAGATCTAAAAGCCAGCAGGTTTTATCAGATGATCACTGCTAGATTTTCTATCAATTACATTTTAAAAATCCATCACTAAGCTCACTTACATTTTAAAAATCCATCACTAAGCTATACTATTAGAAACATTACCCTTGGAATTCATATGCTTTTGTGAAATTTCATTGTCAGTCAAGTATGTTTTAAGCACCGCAAGCCCGCACCTTGGGTTTAGACACATATCAATACAGAGTTCTTGAGACCTTGTACCACAGTCGGTGTTACATACCAAAAACATGTAAACAAAGAATGATCCAATTCTGCCTTCTTTTAGATACTTACCATTTGCAATAGCAAGACTTTCTTTCCACCACATAATAAGGTAAAGGGAAGATAAGTGCTTTACTCTCAACATATGACCTTGAGCGTAGCACCTAAAATTCAATGTACTATACCAAGTATATATAGTGGTTGACTACAGAGAAATGTGTTGTTTTCTGGAGTGCTGAAGACAAATTTCCATAGAAACCCTATAGCTTACTACCTTGAACTTGGAAAATGACCATTTGAGGGAACAAAGACAGACAAAAGCCGAAATATTCTTACAGAAAGATTCTTAACAAAGACTTAGATATGTGTCTGTATGAAGATTGGCACCCACTCTAAGCTGAAAAGAAAGCAACTCTTTACACTTTTTTAGCTAAGATCTAAACCATAATGAGAGGGATGCAGCGCCATTGTGCTCGGCACTCACATGAAGAGTATCCCTGGACTTTCTGCAAACCAGCTTCTCTGTGCTTGAAGGAGGACTTTATGCAGTTGTTCACAGCTTTGTGCAAGGGCACAGTGACACAGAGCCACCGAGAACAGGCTAGAAAAAAGCAGAGGAAGGAAGGAACTCTTTTATTTTTTTATTTTTCTCCAGAAGGGAGGGGAAAAAAACACTGATCAGAAGCTGCTCTCTTCAGCGTGGTGCAGCCTAGGAAAAATACAGATCAAACAGCTAAGTTTCTGTTTCTGCAGTGTGATTTAGCACATGCCAAAATTACTGAATTTTTATGGATTTATCACATCATTCTTGCCATGGGTTCTTGGACTAGACTACTTCTGCTCTTATGCTTATAGTTTTGAATGCCCTGATGTGCCAGGTCCTTGTCTGGCAACCTTGTGATGCTGGGCTACAGAAAAACAGGTTAATGTCAAATTGATTGAATGCTTAGACTTAGTTCTACAAACCAAAATGTCTCTATGCAGGTCAGCCCAAACCAGAGCACATCTTCTTTTCCTGTTACAAAATCAGTAACATTTCCGTAAAAAATATGTTCAGTTTCGCAACAAAGTCATTTTCCTTTGAAAAAGCATGTGATTAAAAAAATCCTAACAGGCTATAATAACGAGTAATATGACTGCTTCCTGAGCTGCTCCTTAATATAAAGATTCAGAATAAATCATATTACTTTGGTAAAATTTCTAACACAGACCATTTTCTCTCTGGATGCAATGTTCAATAGTATCAAAGCACTTTAACTTACATTCTCCTACTTTCTCATCTTGCCTTTTCAGTCTATTAAATATGGAATAATTAATATAGTTCTACCAAGTATATTCTGGTTTGAATCATATTCTGGATAAATATTCAGTATGATGCTTACCTTATTCTGGATAAGACCTCAAGTGATAAGGAGAAGCTCTAGCATGTCTTTTATAGCACAGAAAAAAAAAGGCACTTACAAGTTATGAAGTACTAAAATTCTTTTGTAGCATATGAAACATCTGCAAGAGGTTTATATGAACTACAGGTGAAATTASATCCTCTTTAAATAACATTAGATCCTCTTTAAAATAACATTCAATCAGATTGTAAGGAGGAGTTTGATTTAGTATTGCAGAATACGAGCTGCACCAACGGGACGAGTTCAAAGGAAAGGATAGTCATATGGGTAAAGAAGATACAGGAGTGTGTATGTAGAGTCAGAAGTGTTTGGCTTTGGAATTTACCTAACAGAAAGGTAATTGAAATGTAATATGGGAAATGTGATATTCATATAAAGCACAGGAATGCTATGAAAAGGATGTCTCAGAAAAGAAACAAAATGCAGGAGAATACTTCTGCTTACATTCAATTTAATAATTAAGACTTTTTACAATTTAAGAAAATGTAAGAGGGAAATTCTAAGTCATGTCTATCAAGTTAACAGGAGCACCTACGTTAAAGATTCTATAGAGAAACTATCAAAGGGGAAGAAAGAGGGTACTTGAAATAAGCAAGAAGAGGGAATTTAATTAAATTTTGGAGCTGTAATGCAAGGAGAAATAACAGCACGGTAGATTCTGTGGATGACTCTGTGCAAGGGATATTCAGTGAGGAAGCAGAATGTAGAGCTGAGTGGGACATAGTGAGCCACAATTTCAAATGTATGCTATAGAAACATAAATACAAAAGCTGTATTCACTTGTGAGAATCAGATTATAAACATACCTTCTTCACTAGTTTGTGCATGCACATGTGCCAGTATGGACWGTGTGAGCATAATTTGTGTAGGAATTTATATATAAAGACCAGTGATTTTAGTAGGGGAAAACAGAAAAGTAGAGAAACYGAAAGGTGAAAATAGAGTGTGCAAAAGATAGAGGCAAAAATAACACGGGACAGAATTCTGAAGCAACTTCTAATACACGTTGCGAATGAATGATAGCACTGGAACCATAAGATATGCTTTATGCACAGCTGCATACTGCAGTGGAGTAAACTCGAAGGCAGTTCTAAGTCAATTTTGGATGCTTAGTATCAACTCAATTTTGACTTTATGAGTCACTCCATGCTTTGCTAAGAAGATAGACCAAGATCCAAAATGTACAATGAGMATCTCAATTTACAGAACATCGTTCTGAGTGTGAGTCTAGTTAAAGGAATTAGAGTTTATCCAAAGCGTTGGTATTTATGCACAACAGAGAATTAGCCAAATCTTCTGTAAGCAGCTGCCATCAACAGAGATTCTGTATTACATCAAGGTCCTTCCAAGGAGATAAGTAAGAGCTTAACTTCTGTAAGTGTTTTGAACTTCCTTGATGATTTTTCTGCTGCCTTCACTTGCCTGTCTTTCGTCCATTGATGCTATGTGTATATAACACTGTTTATCTCCGCAACTTTGTATTGGATAAATTATGGAAGGTAGTTCAGGCCTTCACCTCACAGAATCATGTTACTGATGTTGACCTTATTAAGCAGCATGGCATGATCTTTGTGAGATGGGTGAGAACACCCATACAGGTTATACTACCAGCTCTGCAAGGCTGAAGGCTACAGACCTAATGTATATTATACCCATTTTTGAGAAAKAGCAATGGACCAAACATGATAATGTTGTTATTCTTTGGTACACATGATGCCTCTAGGTTTACACTTTCCTAACTGTGAACTTTCTCTTTTTCACTAGGGCGTATTTCAAAACATTTGTCCCTCAGTTCCAGGAGGCAGCATTTGCTAATGGAAAGCTTTAGACAACCCTGGGCATTGAGGTGATACCGGACAGGTTCTTCAGCCTGCATATATCAGCTCCCAAGAATTCCTGGAAGTAAGTTGGGTCATCTCAATAGGTGCTTTCTTGCCCCAGATATGGGTTTGATTGCTTCAGTTTTTGTCTGATTTATGAAAGACAGACCTCAGCTAGTAAGCTCAAAACCAAGTATTTGATATTCACCCCTATCCTGTTGCTTCTGYGACTACCACTCCTTCGTGTATCCACTGGATTCATTTTAAATGTATCTGTTTAGATGTGATACCATTTTCGTGTGCCAAGGATGTCCACTATGTTATGCCTTGTTTCAGAACTACTTGTCTTCAGATGGTGTTAATTGGATTTTTTTTTTCCACAAAAATATTTAGCCTGTTTTGAGCCTTTGTATATTTAGTTAATGTTTCCAGCTTACCCYAATAACATTTAAGACTGCCGTGTGTACCAGAAATGCCTAATGGACTACATAGTGCCATATTCTGCYGTGAACGATTGCACCTCATTGTGGCTGTTGCTCTCACAGGTATGGATATGAGTTGTGCAGTTCAATTCTCAGTGCCTTTCAAGTTGGTCTGATAGTAATATGGCAAARTTGGGATTGTTTTTTCTTTTGTTATATTTCAGTCGAAAGCTCATCTTGTATTAAGTGCTGTGTTTTTATGCATTGTTTTTATTTCCACTTATACACTTGCAGTGTTTTTCTAATGATCTTTCCTTTCTGTTACGAAAAAGTTTATTGCTTTAGTACCACTGCACAAGGAAGTAGCTATATAAATTAGTATAACAAAATAAAGCTCTTCCCTAGACCCTATTTTTTTTCAAGATAAATATGACCAAGAAGCAAAGTTTTAGCAAAAGATTGAATGATGCTGTAGAAAACAACTGATATAATACAAGGCTATAGATGTATTTAGCTTAATGGTTAAGTTCAACATGTCTTTTCAGAAATTATTTTAAGTGTATATAACTGGAAACATTACCTCCCCTTATTCTGAAATGCCAAATGCAAAATCCTGCCTATTCATCCTTCCTTTCATGCTGTGTGTCAGGCGCACCAGACACGGCCAGCTCTCATGGTGTCACTTCCCAAATTAATTTGTAAATAGACCAGGGTACTTTCCAGTAAGGAATAAAATTAACTGTGTATGTTGTTTAAAAATGGCATATGGAAAATGTACCATACTTCTGCTAAATGTAAGGAACTAAATGAATTGTATGAAGTTGATACAGCGGCATTGAAAAAAACATCCAATTTGAAAGTATTCACTCTATTACTACTATCTACTTATAAAATGAAATCAATAAAATTAATTGATTTGCATTATTCCCTTAGCCTTTCTGGCATGTGAGATATTTCCTACAACTAGTGCTTTTCTGTGGAATGTCCACTCAAGAAATATAGATTCTTTGAATTGATGCTTATTAATTTAAAAATATGCAAATAACTTGACCCTAGAAACCACAGCTATTTTTAACTAGCTTATACACAGAATTTTAGGTTGTGTCTTATAGTGAAGTTCTTGACTGGAAATTAAGCTGCAGTCAAAATCAGAGGCCTTATTTCAAATCTGCTGTAAAGGGGACTTGTTCTGCCCTCTGACCTGTCCCCTGTGACTCTGCCTACATTATGTGAGGACAGTAAACATCTCCAGAGATCTGAGACTGTGTTTTTCTCTATGAGGAGGCATCGTGCTGGGCTTCTGTATGCGAACCGACACCTCTAGCAAGCGTGGAGAGGTTTAATTTTATATGTCTAGTAAAACTGTAACTCAGCAACCTTAGATGACTAAAACCAGACATGGTTCCATATATGTGATGGTCTCAAATCTGCATTTCTTCAGGTAAAAGTCACACGTTCAAGCAAAAGCTTACTCTTGTGACTGGGAAGCRAAGAAGAGGGCTAGTGAAAAACATTTCTTCTCATAATGTTCAAAATCTTATAGAAACAATCTCTAGTATTCTCAAAATGAAAGAGAGMTCTCAATAGGTTTCATGAGTAGATCCCTGGGATCTTACATTTGATAGCAGCATTTCACTCAATGTTGTAGTTACTTTCTCATGAACTTCTTTACTTAATTCTTTGTATTTTTGATTGTCTGTAATACAAGTGTCATCACTTTTTTAAAATCTTTTCAGCAATTGCCATGATGTTGTAAAAGGCTGGCAACTGCAGAGCATTTAAAATGGAAGTCCATTTTTCATCATTCACATTTTTAACCAAAAATGCCTTCTTCACTTCAGTCTTAGGAACTCTGGGCAAAAGACTGGGCTGCTTTATTAAACTCCCAAGTGTTCCAGRAGCTTTGTGAGAAAAGACTTTGAGGATAGGAAAAGCCCAAACCAACCATTGGTTGTGTTAAGTGTAAAAGTAAAAACAAACTGTTGGTTTCAGTTTCAATCTTACCTGACGAGGTGTTCAATTCTGTCATACCACTGTCACTATTTAGCAAAAATTTAGGCAGAGAGGTTGAGAAACTGTATTGCTTGTGTTTGAAATAAAGCCTGCAAGCCTCTCAATTTTTAGATTAGAAAAAAAGGCATTTTTTCTTAAAACGTAATGAACAGATTTGTTATTTCAAAGCCCTCCTGAGCTTTTTGACCTATCCCTCATGACAGTTATATATTTAAGCAGGAAAAATGGGATAGCAGGAGGAAAGATATGGTTATGAATGAATTCTTCTCTTTTAAAGGAAGATTACATATAAAGGCTAAAACAGAAGATAAAATTTGAACAATTTTGACATTTCAAACAACTTCAAACAAGTGGTTCAAACAATTTTATATCAACTCAAATATTTATTGAAGCAAATTAAGTTAAACACAAGAGTTGTAATCTAATAAGCTRAAGTTAATTCTAGTATCTCTTTTATATGGTAATACCAATTTTGGATTATTTGGTGGGAATGGGACTTCCAGCTCTTCCCTACCTATATCCTATATGTAATCTAAATGAACAGTCAAACCTAAGTTAGTTTCTGTCACTTGAGAACCACAAAACATGAGTAAAATAGCAATATTGTGAAGCTATCTGAAAGCTTAAATTTGCTGTGTCAGAGTTTTAACTGAAGAAATGCAGTAAATCTCTATTTACTAGACCCCATTAATGTACAATTTTCCAAAGGTCCTTAAAGTGCAAAAATACAGTTGAGCACTTATTCATCTGTGTATGTAATCCACTGTGCTAAAAGTAATACCAAATCAGTCATATTCAAAGCTACTTTTTTTTTGTGAACTTGCTGAAAAGCCTGGATATACATCTGGAAAAAAAATAAATTAAAAAAAAAAAAAGAATATTCTGTGTTGTTCTTSATTGATTTGTCTGTTGTGCTGATTGTGGCTGTGTTGATCAGCATGTTTCATTTGCTGCACCAGCAACATTTTCGGCATCACCTGTGTCTTTAARGATCCTCTTCATTGGTGGAGTGGACTTGACTCCGTTTTTGAGGAAGGAAAGTCATTGCTGGAATTAGCACGAGTTCCAGAGCCTCACCAGGCTTGGCTTTTGGTGTACTTCCTTGCTCTCGTGTGCAGAGCAATCAGCATCTTCTGTGAATCAGTCAGGAGAACAGATCTAGCGATGAAGCGCAGTGCCGCAGATCTTACTTCAGGTGGTTTTGTACAAGGAGACTTGTCAAGCAGGAAAGCATGGAGTTGTCTCCTCCTTTCAGTGCACCCAAATGTAAGGCTGGGGGATTTGACGAGGTCAAACAGACTTGCTGCTTAAATATCTCCCTTTTCCCTCTTCAGCAGCAGTAGCCTTAACAACAGGAGAAGCAGCAGGCAATAGAAACCTATGCAGGTGTATGAGGTTCACTCTTACAGGTTGGAAATAAGCTTTTAATACCAATTCTGAGCAGGAACAATGTATGAGCATGAAAGAACAGCAGTATGTGGAGTCCTCAATCAGCAGAAAAGCCGAATCTCCTGCTCTCCAGCCAGGTGGATAGGGTAGGCTGCGATAAGCTTGCAAGTTCTAGCCACAGCTTCTGACCAGGACTTAATTGCAGGGTGCTCTCCTTTACTGATGAAGCCAGCAAAGTCTGTGACCAGACTACCAAGCAACACTCTTCCCTTAAATTACTAATGTCACTGTAATAGGTGTATTGTAGAGCTCATTAAACCTAAAGGTGTCATTGCTTTGTACTTCTTATATTGCTTGTTACTGAAAAATCCCGTAATTTGTGTCCTTTGCAGTTTCTATTTTCAGGTGTCTATAAAGTTCTGAGTCCATTTGGCTTTACCCGTGCTAGTTATTGCTAATTTTAGCTTCGTGTTTTAACAAGGCAAACAGTAGCTACTCAGGTGCACGCTGGTGTCTTATGAGCTTACTTTAAATATAGAATGATTTGCTGTAGAACTAATTAGTGCTAATGTAAAAACTGTTCCTGCTTCAGCTCAGTCAWCCTGCCGATGCCACCATATACATCTCCTTGCACCAAAACATGGTTTCATTTACATTCTAGCATCAACAGGGAAAAAAGTGTATCCTCCCCTTCTGACGGAAGCCTGCGCTTAAATTATAAGCCATTGATCGGGTCTTATTGTTTCCTGTTTGTGCCTTGAGACCGTAGKTTGTCCCTGTGAACAATATGCATCAGCAGAACACTGCTTGGTAATTAGGTTTACAAACTTCTGTAGATTCAGAGAATAATTTCAAACTTTGCACTAGAGAGAGGTAAACAACATGGGCAGATATCAGAAAGGCACAAATAGTTTAGCCCTAGATAAATTTGAACACTAGCAGTCTACTAGCTAGTAAAACTCTTTAAGTTCTTGCAGAGTARTATTTGTAAACACATGGACTTGAAAAAATCGTAGGGCCTATGTGATTTTAGTCCTGCTTTTCCTATTCTATTCACAGGCTRTGTTTAAAAGCTCATTTCTCCGTTCCAAGGCACTGCACAAACACCGTTTTGTTAAAGTGGTAGTTACCAAGCAATAAGGCAGGGGGAAAACTAGGATCAGCTGCTGAAAATAGGTCTTAAATCATCAAGAAATCAACAAAGGAAGCAAGGTTTGGCGGCTGCCCTGCCACTTGCTGAGTCTACAATATGGGCCTTCAAATGTGTCCCCAGTGCAAATTAAAAAAAGTACAGGAGGTTTTTCTTGCAGCAATAAAGAATAAATGCAATATTAAACAACAGGAAGTAAAGCAAGCATTTAATTGTAGGCATGAAAAGGAAAATACACACTAGAAGCCTAATGTTATTTGTGCCTACAGCTCTCTGGGTTTCTCTTGTCACCAGAAAGGCTGAAGAATTAATGCCTCGTGCTGCAGCTGCCTGTGGTGAAAATTGATCCTTGGGGTGCTGCATGTTTTTATCAAACTCTGTTTAAGCCCTAATGATGCCTTTTCTGTCCCCGAGGATGGCAACATGGTACCTGTGAAAAGCAAATCTTATGCTATCAGGGGGTTTCATTCTGCTGTTACTCCATTTCAAGCGTTTGATTTTGGTGGAGTGAGCACCCCGTAAGCTATTCAGCCTGCCAGCAAATAGGGTACATTTTATTTGCGCAGTGTTTATTCAAAATGATTCAAGCTGATTATAATTTGTCATCTTGTTTCTTTTGTTCCGCTGCCCCTTGCAGCTAGGAGGGTTTTTTTTTTTTTTTTTAAATCCTGCTTAAAAATAAGCGGTGTTGACGTTATTTGCATTTTTCAAAGGCAGTTTCGCAGGGCTGTCGGGGTGGCATCTCTGGAGGTTGGGCTCCCGTGTTCACTCTGTGACCTGCACAGTCAGCAGGAGCGCGGCAGCATCACGCACCCCTCCCAGGAAACCTCCCCTGGACTTGTTCTGACAGGATGGCAACCAAGAGCCACAGGAGCTCTCACCTTCCCCCTCATCCCCGGCTCTCAAACAAGGGGCTGAGTGAAACAGCTTGGGATTGTTCGGTTACTGTGCAGAGCTTTGTCTATCCCTAGCTGGACCGAAGTCCCGCTGCTTGGGAGAAAGGAAAGGAGGAAAGAAAGCAGAAGRTAACGTGTTTTGGTTACTAGTAGATCGGAGCTGGATTCGTTCTTGTGCCCAGCGGAAGGAGCGGTGCCAGAGGGGAATTGCACCCTGCTGCTGAAGTAGGGCATTTCCTCTTACGTCTTGRTAGGGAAAGGCAGCTGTGGAATCCAGCTGCAACTCAAGTACAGTCCTGTCAGCTAATGATGATTTCTTGTGGGTTTTGGCCAACCGAGCCTGCCTTGACTTCAGCTGCCCTAATTCCACCAGAGAGAGGACGTTGCGGAAAACATTTTCCTCACATTTACAGCTCTAGGTACATGTAGAAAAGTCAATGTCCTATTAGCCGTCAGCTTATTCTGGGCTTTTCTAATCAAAGTTATGAAAAGGGGAAGCAAATTTTCAACATAAAAGTATATATTACGGAAATGGTTTATTTCTTGCATTTTTTCAGTTCCTGGTTTTAACAACTGTATTATTGTTTTGAGATGACCAAGATGCCGCAGCAGGCTGCACCCAGCACTGACGTACCCTTTGCGTCCAGTCATTGCTGTGTCTCAGCATCCCTGCTTGCTTCAGGACTGCGGGGCTGAGCTCAGGGAACCTGCAGGTCGACTAGGAAACAGGATGGCGTTTGCTGATCTCAGCAAGAAAGAGGTGAGTTGGGTGAATGAGTCCGTTCTGTGGGAGATGAACTGACCTTCTTCAGAGCACCAGCTGCTCTCGCAACCAAGGAGGAACTTCAGCTCCCACCTCGTGCACGGGGTCAGATCTCTTAATGGAGCCATTTCCGCACGGTGGCGGATTGTATAATTCTAAGCTGGGCTGTGGCATGTCTGGTGCTAATAGCACCCTCACCTCCTCAGGGTGACTCAGCCACCGCTCAAGGCTAATTATGGGCAGGTTGTACAAAAAAAAAACCCTCAAAAACTTGATCCTGCTTCCAGGGTTTGGCTATGCAGCACTGATGGAGACTGCTCAACGGAGAGCGGGTTGAGTCTCTTGCCGGGGAAGAGGAAGGCTCCAAACGAGAAGCCACAGAGGTGCCTGGATGGAAGGAAAGTCTGTCAGGGCATCACTCTGTCAGAGCCAACTGCCTGTCGCTGCTGCTTCATAAGGCAGTGAGTTCCAGCACAGTGTCAATAATACAACCCACTGCTTCCTAAGCTTGTCCGTAAGGGCTACAGGAGCATTTTGCCTGTATTTGTAATGCCATTTTRTTACAGTCAGCATAACGATAATTTTTATGACTGTGTTTTAGAAATGGGCCATTTGACCACTTTTAAAATTCAACAAAGTGTTCATCGCTGTGGTGTAGTCTGGCAGAAAGGTCTGTGCCTTAGCTGTACCGTGTGATGGATGAGGTGCTCTTTGCTTTCTCTGCTCCAGAGGCACCATGAAGTAGGCACTGGAAGCAGGTCATATACTTGAAGGCAGCTCTGAAGATTTATGACCACACTATGGAGGTTGYCAGCATGACTGAAAATGTTATTTTGTGTAGACATGATCCTTGCTAAGAACAATTTCTACAATTCTTAAAAGTATACACTGCACAAACATAACAGTAATGTAAGTGTACATACAGCATTTACATACAGTTTTAGAGGAGCAGCAAAAAGCTGTTAAGATGAATTTTAGGAAGTTTCATGACTCCCTCCTTCACACTCTGTTAGATATGTTTATGCAAAAACCCCTTGTCAAAAATTCTTCCTTCAAAAGCACACCATCATAAGCAAAAACCTCCAGGATACCAAGACCRGGAGAGAGAATAGGTCTACCAAGGAACAGGTGCCCCAAGACGTGGGGCATTCCCGGAGAGCTTCAAGTCATGGGTAGGAAAAGCTATTTCTAGCTTAATCTAGGGCTGATGATAGTGCTGCTTCAAGAAGAAGGTGGGACTAACCTTCCAACCTCTTGGTTGCCA